TTGGTTTTTGCTGTTTTTTTGGTACAATAAAATTTGTTCATCTTTTTCGTTTCAATCGTCGTTCGATGTACTTTATAAAAACACTTCAACATGCTAGTAGAAGTCTTATATCATTTGCATTTATGGTTTCAATAATATATGCGGCATTTTTAACATTATTTTATTTTTTATTTATTTCAAAAGTTGAACAATGTTCAAGTATTCTTCAAACAATTCAAATGCTTTTTGAAATGACACTATTAAAATTTGATGTGCATGATTTAATGGAAGCTGCTTCATTCCTTGGTCCAATCTGCTTTAGCTTATTTATATTTATAGTTGTTTTCATTTGTGTCAGTATGTTTATTACCATAATTAGAGAAAGTTTTGCTTTTGTTCGAAATGAAGCCAAATTTAAACCCAATGAAGATCAACATATTCTGTCGTTTATGTTCTCGAAACTCAAACAGTGGCTTGGTAAGTAGAATTTTTATTTTTCTAAAAGAATGATTTTCATCTCGTCTTTGTATTGTTAGGTCTTAGTAAATCCAGTGAATTGGAAAGAGATGAAGACATGAGATCGAGATATATTGATCCGATTGAAAGTTTCCCAGATAAAATCAATCAACTATTAGATGTACTCAATCAAGTAAGATCCATGCTTATTATTCGTAGCTTATTGTGACCTTTTTTAATGCTTAGTTTCATGGGGAACAACAATCGAATCAATCGGGAGAAACAGTAAAATTATCGGTTGATGATACTTTTCATTAAGAATAAGGCCATAAAAATACACATAGTTAAATGTTAATTATGAACTATTGGAGGAAAAATAGAGAATGTTGTGATTTTGATTTAACTTGTTTCTATGTTCACTTTTTGTTTTGTCTGACAGTTTTTGTTTGTAGTACGCCTTTTAAGATAAATAGATGTTTCCGCCAACTTCTTCTCATCGTTACATGAAAGTCATTTGTTGAACTATCAATAAAGCATACAATGCATAGAGTTACTTATTCAGCAACCATCGAGACTGACCGAGAACTTTCAAAAAAACTTCATTTTCGAATTGGTTTGATCATAAGGTTATTTCACAAAACCCCTAAAACTTTTAAGTTTTCAAGGTAAAAACTTCCTTGATTAAAACTCTTAAATCGAATTCTGTTAAAAATTGACTCATAGCGTTAGATAGAGCAAAAGTTCCTCTATCAAACCTCAGAATATGGATTTCGGTGTATATGAACAAAGGCCTGAACCCACACATTTGGTGTAGATTCAACAGTAGCATATCAACAGCCACCCCAGCATCAATATTACACACATACGCACCCACAGACAAGACGTACATCATGTACTGTTGTGTTTCTTTTTTTTAGGAATCCTATATGATCTGTTAATATCTGATGGCAATCATTCAGTCTGCCCCTATAAGTTTGTTAATCTCAAAATCTGGTAAAATTTTCACTGGCATCTTACAGTCATAATCTGAATATATTGTTTAAATCGTGAATACATGATATTCTTCGATCTTGATACTGGATCATAGAAAAAATCTTGCATGATTCGACATCTGGCTGTTTGACCTGGGTTGTAGTAAACCCGGAATGATCTACTTGTAGTATATGGACTGCATTTAGAAAATCAATCTTTATTAAGATGAGGAGGATTAGTGTAAATATGGAAATATTCTCGAATGCAGATTATGAAAAATCAATCGACTATAAGAATGACTATCATGTGCCCCAAATTGAAATCCCCAAATCGATCCCCAAAAATAATCCCCATTTGGGGATGGTAAAACAATTCTGGTAACCAAATGGGGATTTTAATTTGGGGATATTTTTATCATAAG